GAAGTTATACGATTCCTTAATCTTTCTTAACCTCTGCATCATTGACCACGTCCACGTTCATATCCATGGGTTCCAATTTTATCGCAAACCCGCCTTCCGGTCGTTTCGCCGAAGGGGTACATTCTCTGCGCTTGCAGTCCACATTTCTCGCGCAAAAAGCTTCAGTTTCGAAATACCGAACCTTGCCTTCAACTTGACCACAAATGCAACGTTTTCTGCTTGTGGTTGTGGTTAACAAGATGACTAACACAATCAACCGTGCTCACCTCCTATTTTCCTTCGTTCCATAGCACAAACCCTTGAATACCCATAGCTCGTTCAACAATACCAGCACGGCCAGCTTGTTCCTTGTTTATTAAAAGACGAGGCACATCTTCAGAAACCTGCAAATACAAACAGAATTGATAGCAATTAATTAAGTGTATGGTGTGAAGCAGCTATTTTTCACGTGGACGCTGTGTAAAAAAAACGAAACCCTATTCGTTTCCGAAAAAAAAAATGTTTCTAAAACTGATGCCAACAATAAAGAAGAGTTGAAACTTGAGGCAAACATTTCGATGTCTTCACGTGCTTCCAATCCTAGCAAGACCTCATATCTTATCCATAGTTCATGACCATTACAAAACATCAATTTTAACCCCTACATCGTCAAACATCACAGGAGTCCGACAACACTTTCTAGAGGCGCTTATGCAAGGTACGGGGGCATTTCCAGGACTTACGGAGCAAATGAAAACAGCTCACGCATCCTGAAGTCTCCTCCCACCAATGATTTAGTCCCGATCGTAACAATAAATAGGTGTTTCGTGTAATTTTTTGATGCGTTTTCGCCCTCGTAGCTTGTAATGACGCCGTTAGGCATTCGAATGAATCAGGTTTGTCCCTAAAGAACCACATTCAAAACCCTCTGGGTAAGAAATTTGTTACAAAAGATGTTCACAACGGCAACATACAAGCATCGGGAAGCATTGGCAGAAAAGTCAAATCCCAAAATGGTTCAAGCATGCATTATGCTATGTTAACGGATAAAGCATTTGCCGTTGATCAATCCCTTTTGGGATGCGGCACGCATTCTACTTCCATTTGTACATTCGTAGTGGCGTTTGAATGCGATGTGGCCTATACAATGACTTGCGGGGCCAGCCGATGTACAAGTCAGTGTTTTTATCCTCCCAGACAAGTCTGGTACCAATTAACCGACCCCGGAGGGATGGAAGGCTTGGTTGGCCCGGGCGACTCACGACCCAGGATTTGATCCCCGGACCGCTCGCGTGGTGGCGTGCCACTTGCCACTTCCACCCTTCGGGACAATATGCTTTGAAATGACTTGGATTCCTCATAAAACCCGAACACATGGCGCAACTCGAAACAAGAGCCAACACCAATCAAATTCCACTCAATTCGCTGCTACGAAGTGCTATCAAAAACTTCACTCACTACAGGTCAGAACGGTAAGTCAAACGGCCTCTGCCCATTAGAGGTGCGAGAACAGCGTCTGCGATGGTATGGGCATGTGCTAAGGAGGCCACAAGGACCATCCGATAAGAACAGCGATGGACTTCGAAGTACAAGGCAAGCGACCGCGAGGAGCCCCGAAGAAAAGATGGAGAGATGTCATACAGAAGGACCTCTCTAAAGTCAGGATACAGCAGAATGTGCCGAGGATAGAACAACGTGGGGACGGCAACAAGATCAGCTGATCTGCTACGGCGCGGGATTAACGGTAGGGAGGAGCAGAAAAAGAAGAAGTTCGTCGTTCAAAAGAAAACTAAACGAACGCAGCGGTGCGATTCACCCATGCATAGCAATGGTGAACACAGCGTGTCCCATTATGAGCAAAAGGTCGCATTTCGGGAAGTCCTGAAATTCCAACAATTGGAAACAATTGGCAGAGTTCGCTTCAGAAAGAAGGGTCGACTCACTGAGATGGCACATTGGAAGAAGCGTTTCGGCAAATTTTCACCGAAGAAAATTATGTCTGGCTTCACTACTCCTTCACACTTGTCGCATCTAGGTACCAAGCAATCCTTGTCCTTGAGCCGCTCTAGAAAAAACACCTTCAACCGAAAATTTTCGCACTAAGATTAGGTTTCCCTTACCTTCAAGCCACTGTAGATCGAATTTTTTCCCACAACTAGTACATGTGCTAGTGCGATGCGAACCATGAGCAGTGACAACCTTTTCTTCGGGAATTCCGGTCAGAAATTCCAAAGAGTCTATGTTCTTGAAAAGTAAAGAGCTACAGTCAAACAGACTTTAGTAAAAGAACGATAACTGCAACAGTGAATGCGAGCTGGACCATACCATGTAAAAAAAAACTGTGAGAAAGTTACCTGTGTGAACCACCTCCGCAAAATTCCCTTCTTTTCCAGCAATCTCACGAAATAATGACAAGGAGTTGGCTAAAACGTCATAATATGCGGAGAACCGATTTTGAAAGATTCTCAACAATAACCTTGAGATTTTCGGGGAACAGCTCCTTGGACAACGCATAGAACGGCTCAGGATTCTCGTGGAAGAAGGAAATATCGAAAACCGCCTGTGGATCGGGAAGGTTGTACTTTTGCAGATTATTGTATAGACCAGATCCTGAAAGCAAAATATTCGGATTATTCGCGTAGTAATTGCAACATACCTGATTTTATTTCGGGAAAAACGGTATTATAAGGACCAAAAATATATGGTAACACACCTGGACTCCTAAAGTCAGGGATTCCCGCGGATGTGGAGATGCCAGCGCCAGTCATTACAATCACATTGCTAGGATGTTCCGTCTTTATGAAATCAGCTATTCCTTCCAAAGTGAAAGATTTGAGTTTCGATTTCGTTACGCAATGTCCTTCTGAAACACTGAAAGTAACTGAAACGTTCACGGCAAGAATGCATCAAGCCAAGGTAAGGCACCGTAGCGCTGCGGTGTAGCGATCTAGAATACAGTTGGCAATGATACAGTATTTTTCGTCTTCTTGTATGTCTTAGAAACACGGCATGCAGACCGCAGTGGGCACGGGGTGTGGTTCACTAGGACAGAAAGCGACTTTTTCGCGTTTCGCAGCGCGAAACATTTTCCGCTGCGGGAACCTCAGGTCCACCGCTGATCATCAGTGGACCCGAGGTTCCCGCAGCGAATCATCAATGTGGACCCGAGATTCCCGCAACGAACAATGTTTCGCGCTGCGAAACGCGAAAAAGTCGCTTTCTGTCCTAGTGAACCTTACCCGTGGGCACGCAGCAAGGTTATCCATCCCTGTGAAGGAGACCAGTTTTGTATTAAGTTAGAACATAATGTCGTACCGTTTGCTTTTTCGAGCGTGAGAATTCTAA